GTCGTTGTTTTGTCCATAACTTGTCTCCTACTCATGGTAAACTCGACCACAAAGCTATTACTTGTGTGTTCTTGGTTATCCCTCATCTTAAAAGAGATATTGATGTTTTGACCCAGTGTCCTGGAAATATTTCACTTCTATGGATGTATCCTTCTTTGAGAATGAACCTTTCTTTCAAGTTTCTCCTCAAGGGGAGACTAGAGAGTAAGGTTGAGGAGAAACAAGTTCTCTTACCTCCTCTTCCTGATCCTCCTTCATTCTGTGTATTTTTTTTATGTCAAAAAGGCCAAAGCCAATGGAGTTCAAAGGTCGTGGAACACCCTAAAGTTGTGTAACCAATGCCATCAGACTCTTAGGAGACAAATCCCTCCCATTGATATTCCTGAACCTATTGACATTGAGACCTCTACCTGTGATTTGTGCCTCCCCATTGCAAAAAGGAAAGGTGTCAAGTCACATGTACTACTCACCATCCCATGGTCAATTTCTTGTCCTATGAGAACATCTCACCCTCATTTCGTGTTTTCCTTTCAACCATTAACAGTGTCTCCCTTCCCAAGAATGTTATAAAGACTTTATCGGTTCTTGAATGGACAAATGCAATGAATGAAGAGATAAATGCCTTACATAAAGGTGGTACACAGGAGTTGGTGGATCTTCCTAAAGGAAAGGAACTAGTTGGATGTAAATGAGTGTTCTCTATAAAAAATAAGGCAAATGATACGATAGAGAGGTACAAAGCCTAATTGGTTGCAAAGGGTTTTACACAAATGTATGGAGTAAACTATACAAAGACCTTTGCTCCAATTGCAAAGATGAATTTTATCAGGGTTCTTTCTTTGGCTGAAATCTAGATTGGAAACTTCATCAATTAGATATCAACAATGCATTTTGAATGGGGATTTGGAGGAAGAGGTATACATGGTCCAACCACCTAGTTTTTGTGCTAGAGGTAGTGAATAGAAGGTGTGCGGACTGAAGAAGTCTTTGTATGGCCTGAAACAATCTCCAAGGACCTACTTCAACAGATTTCATCAAGTTGTTCAGCAAATGAGATTCAAACAATGCCAAGCTGACCATACTCTTTGTGAAGGCGCAAGGGAAAACCGCTGCCCTAATAAATCTATGTAGATGATATAGTTGTTACTCGTGATTGGAGATCAAAGATACGAAAACTAAAAGGTTCCTGGCCACACATTTTGAGGTGAAGGATCTGGGTCCAGTATGTTATGTTCTTGGAATTGAAGTTGCCCCCTCATAACAAGGGATCTTCATTTCCCAAAGGAATAACATCCTAGATCTGTTGAAGGATATAGGCAAATTAGGGGCAAAATCAGCCAACACCGCTATGGATGTGAATCACAAGCTAGGGTCGTCAAGGGGAATATGTAGAAGATAATAAGCATTAACAAAGGCTTGTGGGGAAGCTCTTATACTTGCCTATGATTCAGCCTGACATAGCTTATGCCAGGAGTGTTCTCAGTCAGTTTATGCATGCCCCTTAGGCCGCTCAACAGGAGGCAATAGAGTGCTCAGATATTTAAAGCAGTTCCCTAGAACAAGGCTGCTTTTTAAGAAGCAAAGACAAGAAAGCTGAAGTTTATACTGATGCAAGTTGGGCTAGCCCAGTAGATGACAAGAAACCTACTAGTGCTTATTGTACCTTTATGAGAGGAAATCTTGTTACTTGGCCAAGGCTAGTGCGAAGGTAGAATATAAAGCTATGTCCCATGGTGTTGCCAAAGTCTAAAGTTCTATGGATTAAGAACTTACTGGGGGAACTAGGTTTCATAGTTGATAGTCTTATGTCATTCTATTGTGTAATAAAGCCTCCATCAATATTGCTGCCAATCCTATCCTCCATGACAAAACAAAAGCACATTGAAGTGGACAAACACTTCATTAGGGAAAAGTTAGAGAAAGGGGAGGTATGCCAACCAATGTTAATTCCAAAGACCAACTTGCAGATGTTCTTATAAAGGGCCTTCATCATTTATGACACAATGAACTGTGTGACAAGTTGGGAATGATTGATATATATGTTCCAACTTGAGGGGAGCAATATAATCTTCGTTTTATGTGCCTCAAGGGTACATCTATCTTTTAAACTTTATATAATGGCCACCCTACATATAAATATATAGCTAACGCCACCAACCTATTCTTTTTGGTTCTCTTCCACTTCTTTCTTCTTCTTCCCTTTTACTTTTTTGCACCAAGACAAGACCATAAATGCACAAATTGTTGACTGGGGAGTGAGTTTTGTTCACTCATCAAGTGGAAGATGAGCAAAGCACAACCAAAAATATGAACTACAAAGAAATTAGGTGAACAATGGAATAAGCTCTAGAAGAGAGAAGCATTGTGCAAAACAGAAGAAAGTTGATAAGGTACACAAAAGTGTTGGCCACCTCCACCCAGAAGGAAGTAGGAGCATGTGAGTCATGGAGAAAGTCCAAAAATTACTCACAATGTGTCTCTTCTCGTGCTATGCCACTCCGTTCTGTTGTGAAGTGCCATTACAAGATCCCTATGATTGAATTTTGTCATCTCTCGACAAGGTTTGAAAGTCTCCATTAAAGTACTCACCCCCCCCCCCAAGTCTAAATGGAGAACTCCAATACTAGTATCAAACCGATTTATGATCTTAGCCAAGAAGGATTTCAAGGTGAGAAATTATTTCTCAAAATGTAAATCCACGTAAAGTGAGTGCAATCATCAATAAATGTAACAAATACTTATATCCCAACCATGAATTAGAGCAAATGACCAAACATCACTATGTACCAATTTAAAGGGAATAAATTCATGTTCAATAAAAGCAGGAAAAAATAGAGCATGACCCTTACTCAAGCAACAAGAAATGCAAGCTTTATTAATTTTTTTCTTCCTTCCTTATGCATGCTCTTAATTGACTGAATGTCCTCTCTATTCGTTCCTATACATTTCTAGCTCAGTGTGATGATCAGAGATATCATTATAAATTTATAACCATTCAAAGTCACTAAACCATCCCTTAATCAAGCTGAGAGGAGAATATGGAAATTAGAAGAATCTGAGGTCATTATAGTAAAATCCCTATTCAAATCATAAAAGGGGAATTTTCATTTAAAGATTTTTTCCTTAGAAAAAATCTCTAAATCAAGATCCCCCTTTCTGTTTTCAAAGCTCCAAAATATGGATCTTGCAGATCCCTCCTAAAGTGGCATTATTCATACAGACAGAAATTTTAGGTAAGTGTTTGACAAAAGACAACCTTAACAGGAGAGGGATTATCGTGGATTCAATGCAGTATGTCATGTGCTCTGCAGCAATTGAAACTGCTTATCATTTATTTTATCCATTGCAAAATGGCATATATTTTGTTGATTAAATTACTCAGAAGTTTCTGATAAAGGGCTGCTTTCCAACAATGGAAGCTCTTATCCTCCACTGGTTCTAAAAGATGTGAGCAGGAAAGGGAAGGATATATGGCAAGCTATACCTTCAGTTATTGTTTGGAAATTCTGGAGGGAAAGGAATATCTTTGAAAATGCCTTCAACACAGTGAAGGTGCTTGTGAATGGAGCAGTTATTCTCTGTTCTCATGGTTTTCAATACACATAGCTCTTTAAGAAATACCTTTCAATACTTATTTTTATTATGACAATCTGTTTATAAGCTGATACCACACAGTTGTACATTCTCCCTTTTGTTTTTTAATGAAAGTTACCTTCTCTCTCAAAAAAAAAAAAGATAAAAAAAAAAATTTGTCCACATGGGTGTATCCTCTGTATCCTTTAAAGATCCATTAATAAAAGTACACTTTACCTTTTTCAAAGAAAGTCACTAAACCACCCCTGTTCAAATTCCATCCACTCAACATTGGTGTTTTAAAACCATCACCACTGCAACTGCCAGTATCAACAATCTCCATGATGATGTAAACAACTTGCAAACTTGATGGAAGGTGGAAATATTTTCTATTAGTGGTTTTTGACTAGATATTATGAACTTGACACTTTCAAATCAGATCATCATCATATGGGATCTGCTACATGATCCTGTTTTGCCATTCTGTTCTGTTCAGTGTCATATCCATTGTTAAATTGCAACTTTGTGAGTGCTTTAATCTTGTCTTATTACTTCCATCCCAAGTTCTTTTTGGTCTGCCCCAAGCACTTTAAGCCCCTTCAACTTGTAACAGAATACTTTTTTCTGGCCATCTCAACCCAACTACTTACTCTCATTTTATGACCTACTGGAGCTACCCCTAGGTTCCTTCATATGACTTCATTTCTAACCCTGTTCTTTCTAGTTTTACCACTCATCCATCTAACCATTCAGATTTCTGCCACATTTCATTTTTGGACATGTTTCTTAGCTGCCCAACACTCTGATCACACTTCCAATCCAGATACAGTTTGTAAACCAAAAGGTGTTAAGAAGGTGATAGTAGTTGTAGACTTGTGTCAAGAACAAAAGCCATGAATTTCAGCACTAATCCACATTCCACAATACAAATAGTAGGACATGGTGGTAGCAGTAATAAAAGTGAGATTCTCTCATTTGTTGATAAAGTCAGCAGTTCTGTTTCCAAAGATAGCTTCTTGTTCTGACAAAATGAAACTTAAGGCTGCCCTGGGTTTAATTGGGTCTGGTAATGCCCAATTGCCCTCCAGCACAGAGAAGTACCGCTATGTCCTTGTAACGACAGAAAACACTACATGGCATAGAGGCCATATTACCAATGTCAGTCCCAGAAATCTCAGGTCTTGGGAGGGGTAGACTGGATACGGTCCTAGTCATTTATCATGTTTTGGAGCAAACAGATACAACCATAAGCTTAAAAGAAAAAATAATAAGCCATAAAGCTTTTCTAAGAACTATGGACAAGCTTTAATGAATGCATCCTGATGTACAGTTCCAAGATCTTTTCAAAGGATGAGCAGAAACAGCTGAATGTTATATCCATGTTTAGTACAAGAGTGGATTTGTATGGGAAGAAAGATTAGAAATACCTTTGCAAACTTCCCACTAAATACAGAGAGTGCTACTTTCCAGAAGGCAGGTATGTGATGGATAAGCACAGCAGATAACTTGCGAATATACCTTCCCCTAAGTGCATCCATTTGTTCACCAACCAAATCTACAGACGAATGACCATCCCCAAGAATATCGGAAGAGTTGGCATCTGACTGGTAACAATTGAAAAGAACAAGTATCAAATGCTTTAAAAATTAAATGTGTTCAGATATAGTGATCCCTGCATAAGCCTTTGTGAGTGTGTGCTATTCACTTACAGATTTGTTTGTATCTTGTTGGATTTGCCTCCACTTTGCATCAGAAAGTGCCCTCTCACGGATCTGATTATGCAAAGCTTCAATTCTTGCTTCATGATCTAAGGTGCATCGTTCAAACAAACCCCGAATTCTGTTATTCTGCACAAATAGATAAACCAATACAACTAGAATTTGGTCAAATGGTAAATAAAATTAAGGAATCTAAAGCCTATGCAGCAAATAAATTGTAAAATATCTTCAAAGAATACTTGAATAGTATGACCTAGATATTAGCCTAACCAGCACATAAAAATTCTGCTAACCTGAATATTTAGATAGTGCCACACAGGATCTGACTCAGGTTCCAACTCCAACAATAGTCTCACAGTGTTTTCAAGCTATTAGAAGAATTGATAATAAGTAGCGGATAAAGAAGGATAGATAGCGCTCACTAAAAGCATAAGATCTTCATGGTAATAAGCATGCACTGCTAAACGTCAAGCAATACACTAGTGATCATATGGAAACAAATGATGCAGACAAGTATACATACACAGCTCGTAAATTTTCCATCAAGGTTCTGTATCAGACAAAAGGTTGCAAGTGCAACAGAGAAAAATGAACTTTTGCTAGTTCGTCCAATACCTATTTTATATTATTTACAAATTCCAAGATTTAGCATATATAGCATGTATTTAGCATTAATACTAACTGATGCTTGGTATTACAATACATATGCCCTTATTTTCCAGTGTTCAAATTCCCCAAAGCTGCTACATTACATGTTTAACAGATCAGAACTGTTGGTGGCAGACATAATGCTAAAACTAGAAAATATACATTGCATACAATAAGGAATATGGCTGGCCCAGGTACAATCCAATTGAAAGCATATGGACCAATATCCAACACAAATGAGAAAACCTATAAGAACAGCAGATATCAAACACAATGAGAACCAAGTCAGACTGGATCAGGTCCAAACTAAGAAAATCAAAGAATTTAAAAGTCCAAATTTCAAAGGTATAAGTTCTTATTAATATATGTTGCGATTGGGCTGATAACACTTGTTTTTATTTTTAAAGTTTAGCTAGACAGTAATTGGACCCAAGACCCATTAGTTTATGTTTTGTTTAAGAGTGTTTACTTCTGTTTTAGTAATAGCTGACTTACTGAGGGTATACTTGTAATTGTATCTTTTTTAATTATGAGTATATAAGATAGTGAAAGGGGTGGCCAGATAAGATTTTTGGCTTCTCCCCATTCTCTTCAACCTTTCTCTTCTTCTCTTCTCTGTACAAACTTCTCCTTTTCTTTCTTTTATCATAGATTTCAAGTCAGATCAGATTTATTGCACTTTCAAGTATATAAATAAATAACAAATCCAGTTCTTTGTTGGAAATGATCAACATGGATCCAGAACTAATGGCATAAGGACCAAAAACAAGAAATATCACATACCCATCACTTTTGATGTTCCACCTTTCCTGTGTAAAGATGTATACCAATGCTCTAAAAGTGGTTTTGCTAGAAAGTCTACTCCGAATAATACTGTAAGAATTATGTGGAGATGCATAAGAGCAGATGTAATGTTGAAAACATTGAATGGCAGGAATTCAAGATTTTTTGGCAACAAGAAACAAGATGATTTTTTGGTTTTGACAATGTTATCATGACTATTCATGAGATATTCAACTCCCATTGGAGAACAAATTTCACTAAAAGCTAAGTTCCTATAACTACTACAGCCTTAAAATTGATTTACACCTCAGTTTGAAGTGATTTAATCATACATGATTTTCCAAGTAGTGGTGTGGTTGTTCTGAGCAAATACAAATGGCCTTGGCCGCTTCGGCATCATATCAAGGAAGCAAAGGCTTGCCTCCAGGATGAACAGCTTGTTCAGATATGGCTTGGAATGGTACTTACCTTTCTTTCTTTGCTATCAGTAACAATTATTGGTACTAATTATAAAATAAAAGTATAGAGTAAATGAGTAAATCCAAAGACCTCAGGTCAATCCATGTAATGAGGCCCCCTTGTACAAAATATACATAAAGAAAATAAATATGTCCTACACCAGGAAAGAGGTCACTAGTAAAGATCACTCTTCATCACACCCTTTCAAGAAGTGTCATAGACTTACTTTTGTCCTTTTTGTTTTGACGATAACTGTCAATTGTAATATTATTATCAAAGGAGAGAGTACACAAATCAATCAAACACTCCTATGACCCACTTCAGTCTTTTGATATGCATAATATCATTCTTGTGTAATGGAATGAACAACATATCCGGATTTAAAAGATACTATCTATATAATGACTATTTCCTTATTTATGCTTGGCCCTTAATGCAGCCACCTGAATAAGCCTCATTAAAAAACATTTGAATATTGAATTCAGTCAAACCCCAAAGATTGCAATGCTTTTCGACAGACTGCAAAAGAGTGTTAATATTGAAAACAATTCAAGAATTTGAAAATATTGAATTATACATTTGTATGAAAATCACACAACGAAGATTACAACCTTAAGTTTGTAATCTATATAGGCTTCCTAAGGAAGGTTGCAGAGTTGAGTTTTGGTGACAGTAAATTATATCCCCCCAGTATGTAAACACTGAGAGTATGTTCAGATATAACCGATCAAGTTCATGGTTTAAAATGTCCCTAATTTCCCTAATATTTCCACAACATATTTCCATTTCCATAGTTAGCGACATGAAATTTTACTGAAATCAACATTTCCCCAATGAACACTACTACACTATGTGGAGTACAAGTGATAGTTTCCACAACATGTTTCTATTTCCACTTCTATGGGTAGTGACATGAAATTTTATTGGAATCGACATATTCCCTAACGAACACTACTAGTACTATGTGGAATCAAAGAGTATTATAACATAAGTTGATGACAATATTTCAGATATGTGAAGTAACAATGTTATTTTAAACCTAAGTTACATGATAACCACTTTGAGCTAGCTCAATATTCATTTCAAACATGAAGTTAAATATTAAATTTTTGTTTGTGTAATAGATTATATAGTTGATCTATTACAATCATTTACATTTTCTATGAATTTAAATTTTGCTTTAACTCATTCTATTATGAGACTCTGAATCTTAAGGTTTACAGAGCAACTTCAGAACGTATTCTTTTGTCTATAACCTTAGTTTCTTAGTTTTGTTTAATGATTTAAAACAAGATAGTGATTTAACTAGGTGTGCCTATGCTTCTTTTATCATTTCATAAAATATCATTCTATACTTTTCATATTTTACACTGTTTCCACCATGTCTATGATTTTTACAATATTTCCATACGATATTTCTGACATGCTTCTTATATTTGGATGACCAACATTTCCACTGACATCGACATTTTAAACCATGATTAAGTTAACTGGGTATTCTCAAACAGAAAGTGGGGGTAGATTTTAATTGGGAAGTGGCAGAGATCCCTCTTGAAGGCCTTACTAAAACAGTTTCTGGTCTTCTTAAGATGAAAAACCTATGGATGCCATCTACAGGCAAGAAATGAAGAGAATTGTTCTTTGGGGGTTGGTTCATATGATTGACCATGGTAAAGAATTGGCTACTGCATGAACCAAACATTCTAGGCAGTAAACCATATGATTCACCATATTAAAGAATTATCTCCAGGATGCACCACTACCATTATTTCACATATTCTAAGGCTTCCATGTAGCTGATGCATCCTTGTCTACACATAGTGTACATGAAGATACATTCTGCACCAGCACCACCACTTCCTCAGCTTAGACATTTCCTAAACTTTGAACATAGTGTAACACCATTACCCACCTAATGAGCTTGTCATATGTTTCCTCACTAGACATCTTGATTCACAATGACAACATACTGCAGACAAATATGGAATAAGTAGAGAACTTACCTTTGCTAGTTCTATTTGTGGATCTTCCATGGACTTATAAAGCATGCCTTTAAACTCTTGCATCACTTTTTCCACTTCCTCAAGAACACGTTTAAGTATTCCAACCTGAAAGCAAATGACTAATCACCATGAATGCATTTGGCTGCAATGTAGAGACAACAACTAAAGAACCTTTCAAGCAACTATGTATGAAACATGCAAATCCCTCATAGAATTCCACAATAGAAATATAGAACAACCATTGATTGATAGAAAAAGAAAATCACAGATGGCTTGCTAGACTATTAGAACCCAACACTTGACAATCAATCTCAAGAAGTAGGTTTTAAGGAAATGATTTAGAGGAAGATTCCTCAAATCAAAATGAACAAATATATGACAAAATAACTGGTAAGGACTTCAATATCCAATATCGAATGGGAGCAAGAGGACGCACAATTTTCCACATGCACGAGGCCAGTGGTTGGTCACATGATCCATTATACATTTTAATCCATTTGCTCCTCCTTTCTTCAGGCATCCAACATGATAAGATTGATTGATCATGGCCAACGGACTGTAATACACCTTGGTTTACGGTGGAAAATGTATTTGCATTGCAACCATATATACACCAGAGTTTATTGTGGAAATATTGATCTGATGTAGCAGTAACATCATAGCTTAATCCACACTTAAAATATGAATTCTACCATTTTGGTAAGGAATCCCACTAAAACCATGCCCATCATTTATAGTATCATTCTCAACTGTTGAGAATTCGCTGTATTTTATTTCTTGTTAATTAGTTGATGTTATTGGGCCCATGGCCCATTAGTTTAGTGCCTTTTTAAGTAGTTGTTTTTAAGTCTTTGTTAGAGTATTGACAGTACCCGCCCTATCAAGGCTGTATCTGACTTTGTACACACTTTATTTCTTAAGTATAAAAGTTAATGGGAGAGGCATCCATCTCTCTACTGGTGAAAGTGCTGGGTCTCCAGAATTTTAATGTCTTTATTGATTCAATGACTAGTGCATTTCCTTCAGAAGACCTCCCCCTTACCTCGTTATTTATGGTACTGGCAGCTAGAAGTGGAGAAGATTTGTGCTTCTAATGGATATTACTTTTCACCATACTTTGAGAGAAGGAAATCGCTTAGCTGATGCTCTAGCTAATTTTGGTTGTGACTCTGACGCCTCAGCGATCCTTGATTCTCACAGTGAGTTACCTTTGGCGATTAAAAGAATTATTCATGCTGATAGAATTGGTCTTCCTTATCTTAGGATTTCTTGATATTTTGGTAGGTGTTGGGCCTTTTGTATATCTATGAGCCGAACCCTACATTGTATAGGTTCCCAAAGTGGTAAGGTTTTTATGATCCCCCTGATAGGTTTTCTTTTCTTATTAATAAAATTTACGGTGGCCACCCCTCTACCGGGAGTAAATTTTGGGGTTTAAAAAAAATAAGAAGTATCAGAGCAGATTCTAGATTGTTTTCCAGAATTTCTTCGAGAAGATCTATGCAGTCCTAGATCATCTGATTGCATGGGAAATTAAAGGGCTGATCATTGGATCTAAGAAACCACCAATTCATGGATTTTTTAGGTGGAATTCAAATATCAGAGGTATGATCTTGAATTAGACATCAAAATCAGGAAGAAACTGGAGAGACAAGAAGCATTCTAGTTGCAGTGGAGTCTTGGGTTTTGTTCAGAACTGAGGTGATCAGGTTTTTTATAGTTTCTTGAGCCTTCATACAGGGGGCGGTTAAGTTTCCAGCAATTTCTATGCTAGTGCCACGAGCCTGACTTTTTGCTCTCACATTTTTTCTTCTACTTCTTTTCTCTCTTCCTCTCCTTTCTTCCCTTCTTGTTAATATTCCAACTGAAAATGAGTCTGAACCGATGATTGATGAGACCCATATGGTAGAAAAGTCTGTTAACATCAAGGAAGTGGTGAATAGGGGAGTGAAAGTTAGCAAAATTTTGGGTCTGTTTTTCCTAGGAGGGTAGGAATTCGCAAAAGAAGCCTTTAGATCTGTGGAGAAAACAAGAGCTGTGGAGGAAACATTTGGGAAGAAAGAAGGTCTGATAGATACAGTAGTCCATCCTAACTGCGATAATTCAACAAGGCAAGAGGCGGAAGCAAGTGCAGGAGGTTGCGGGGACTTGATAGAGGAGCCAGAAGAAGAGGTTGAGGGGGTGATGGTCGAAGACAGGGGTCAGATACTAGTGGGGAATTCTGAAACAGCGGTGGGAAAGCTAAATGCAGTCAGAAGATTTAGAACTCAAAAGCACAAAAAATTACAACAGCAGATCCCAATCTCTAAGATCTTCACAAGGTTAAAAGGTGGTCTTTTCAGAATGGGACCTAACAAGCTCGTCCAAAAACCCAAAGGAACGGTCAAGAAACAATAACAAACATGTACTCAAAAAACTGAGAAAAATGTTTAAAGCTGCTTGTTGGGGTTTGGGTGTATGGCTTGGGCTTTTTTGGGCGTCGTGCTGGTTTGATATTCTAGTTTTCTTTTGTCTCTTTTCTTGTATTGTTATGGGTAAAGGGCTTTAGTTTGAAGGGTCTTTTTAGCTTGTTTCTGGTTTTGGTTGATTTGGGTTTGTTTCTGTCTCATTGGGGTTGAGTTTTGGGTTGGATTTTCCTTTTGGGTGATTGCTTATCACCTTCCTTGTATCTCTCATTTTGTTTTAACAAATTCTTTTATTTTATCTTCAAAAAAAAAAAAGAATGGCTACAAGTATTTCATTACATTTATAGATGACTTCTCTCGATACACTTGGGTTTATCCTATGTACTCCCGAGAAGAAGTTCCTACACTTGTAAGACATTTTCAATGCATGATCCTTAAGCAATTCCAGAATAAGATCCAAGTTTTCCAATCAGACAATGCAAAGGAATATTTACATGGTGACCTAACTGAATTTCTTTGCTCCCTATGCCTCCCTTCACCAGAGCTCCTCTGCTAGAACCCCTCAATAGAATGGGGTTGTAGAGAGGAAAAACCATCACTGTTAGAATCAACAATACAAGGGTAGTTTAGTCACTTGCCTATTTAATTAAGGTTGAGTTGCCTATTTTGTCTAGATTTAAGTTGTGTGTCCCATACTTAATGAGGGATAGATTTGTCTTTTGTAATCTAATACAAAGAGTATAAATATAAGGTGGGTCGGTAGAGAGATTGACATTTCCTCTTCTCAGACCGAACCCTTTCTTCTTCTCCTCTCTTCTTTCTCTTCATTCTCCTCGTCTTCTTTCCTTCTTACTTATCTCAGACCTAGGACTGAACTAGTGTTAATCGAATCATTCACAATCACCTCCTAGAAGTAGCTCAAGGAATGCTTTTGTAGATGAATGTACTAAAAAGGTTTTGGATGGAAGCTATTATGATTGCTGCCTATGTTATAAATTGTATGTCATCTCGGTTATTGGAATGTAAGTCTCCACATTAGCTTCTCTTCCCTAAAGCTCCATTGTTTCTTATACACATGTGTGTCTTTGGTTATCAGTGCTTCATTCATGATCTATCCCCTACCCATGGTAAACTTGATCCTAAAGATATTGTTTGTGTTTTCCTTGGCTATCCTCCTTCTCAAAAGGGCTATCATTGTTTAACCCAATTTCAAAGAAATATTTTGTCTCTATGGATGTGTCTTTCTTTGCGAATGTGCCCCATTTCCCTATTTCTCCTCAGGGGAGAGTAAGATTGAGGAGAAACAGATACAGGTTCTATTACCTTCTCTTCTTGATCCTCCTCCATTTCGTGTCTTCCATAGACAACATTATAGAATCCAAAGCCAACAAAGTTCAAAAGTTGTGGAGCAACTAGAAGCTATGAAACCAACACTGTTGGATTCTCAGGGGTTGAATCCCTCTTCCCATCCAAGTACCATTATTCCTGTTGACATCCCTGAACCTATTGACATTGACACTTCAACCTATGATTTGAACCTTCCTATTGTAAAGACAAAATGTACTAGATCATGTATCACACACCATCCTATGGCTCATTTTCTATCTTATGAGAACATTTCACCCTTAATTTGTGCTTTCCTTTCAGCCATTGACAATGTCCCTCTTCCTAAGAGTGTTGTATAAGTTTTATTAGTTCCTAAGTTCTTATGAGAACATTTCACCCTCATTTTGTGCTTTCCTTTCAGCCATTGATAGTGTCCCTCTTAAAAAGAGTGTTGTAGAGGCTTTATTAGTTCTTAAGTGGACAGGTGCAATGAAGGAAGAGATCAATGCCATACATAAGATTGGCATGTGGGAGTTGGTAGATCTTCCTGGAGGAAAAGCTTGGAGATCAAAGAAGGGAGGATGAAGGTGCAATAGGAAGATTAGATGAGAAGGAAATAGAAGAAAGAAGGGGGATGGAAGGAGAAGCAAAGAAGATTTGGAATTTAATTCTTGATTTTCTAAAGGACCTTGAGAGATGAAGAAACAGGAAAAGAAGATTTTTAGGGTTCTAGTAGGGAAGAAAAGAGGGAAGGAAAGATAGAAAAGAAGGAAAAGGAGAAAGATAAGGTCAATTCAGCCATAGGGAATGACACACAAAGTCAAAAGGATCACAAGGAAGGGAACCAAAAGGTAAATACATGAGGAAGAGTGAAGGAAAAAAAGAAAAAAGAGGAAGAAGAAAACATCAGAAGTAGAGAGGCTAATTTCTGATGTGGTGGGTTATATTGAATTTAGTAGGAGGGGGGATAAAAGAAGACAACCCAAGTAGGGTCGTGAGAAAAGAAAGAGGGTTTCAATTCAAAGGTGAAAGGAAAAGAATAATCAATTGGAATGTAAGAGGATTGGGGAGTGCATGGAAAAGGAGGGTAATTAAAGATTTACTAAAAAGAGAAAATCCTGATGTGGTGTTATTGCAAGAGACTAAATTAAGAGAATTGGATAGAAGATGTGTGAGGAGCTTGTGGAGATCGAGGGGCATAAGATGGATTGAGGCTCCATCTTGGGAGGCTTCAAAGGGTATAGTGACACTGCGGAAGGATGAAGTTATGGAGTCTATGGAGAAGCTACTTGGTAGATATTCGGTATTAGTAAAGTTTAAGAATGTGGAGAATGGATTCATCTGGGTGTAGACTAATGTTTATAGACCAAATAA